CTTCAGTGTTGGCCTCACTTCTTAGGTCATATGAGGTTCAACAATTTCATCTCGGTTCAAGGGTGGGGGGCTACTAGCAACCAAAGGGGAGGGGTTCCAGTTCAAGTCCAAATGCAAACTTGAATCAACCTTCTTCGTTGCAAATAACTCAAAAGCCTTGTCTAGTGATTCGGCCACCGTCTCCTTGTATGCAACCCAATGTTGCTCCGAGTTGACACACATTGTCTTCCAACGGATGTGCATTCCAAAACCTACATTATGCCTTCCCTCCAACTCAACATATCACTAGGGTCCATCCAATTCAAAGATTTACTCGTTGCAAAAGCTCCGCATAGCTAGGACTATTATCAACCATGTCAACCTCATCGGGTCCGGTTCAATATTGCCTTTCAAGAAGGCGTCTTTGTCCCCATGATGAACAAACACACATGTTCTTCCCATCCCTATAAGCGTTCAAACAACACAACGTAACATTTCTTCCATGAGTACTAATCTAAAGATTAACACGAAATAGAAACCCTAACATCTATACGAAACAACAACCATAAGCCTAACCCTAACCCTAGCACCAACATATATATGAAACAACAACCATAACCCTAACCATAACCCTAACTCTAACCATAACCCTAACATACTAACAAGCATAATCATAGGAAATTGGCAAACAAGCATCACACATATCAATGCAAATCTCTAGATCCATACAAAATTAGGGTTTCCCCAAACTAGCAACAAATGAACAATTTGTTAACATTACTTGGATCAAAAGAAGGGGATCGGAGAAGATTACCTTGAGGGAGGGAAGGAGTTCGAAATCCGTGGACAAAATCTTCAGATTTGTAGGATTTGGGGAAGGATTTGAGAGGGGGCGGGAGAGGGGGCGGGAGAGGGGGCAGATCTCGGGTGAGCTATGTGTGGGGTGGGGGTGTGTGTGGGGGGAGTGGGGGAGGGGGGCCCGGCCAACTAGTAACAGACAGTGCAGCGCCTACGGGCTAGGCGCTGCACATTACATGTGTGGTGCCTAGCTCGGAGGCGCTGCACTGCTTGGGTGCGGGCCCAGGGCTGCCACAGCGGACAAGTGTGCAACGCGCGCTGCACCATAGGGTGTGGCGCCGGCGTGTCGGGGGCTACACAAAAAGGGAAGGCGCGTGAAATAGTTTTAGGACCAGTTCATTTCGTGAATTCATTACGTCCACAGGTCAAAATTGTCAATTTTGCCACCCGCACGGTCTCCACCATATCCTTGGTCATGCAAGATGATTAGAAGAATAACCCACCTCCGTGCAAATCAGGAAGGTTGCGCCTTATTTAGGCCGTGTAGACATACGTGCGGAGAGAGAGGGGGGTTGCAATCTGTACATTACATCTGAAACGAGAAAGCGTTAAACAAAAGTGGCTATTTCATCACCAAAGTTTGCGCAGCTTCCTTTTATTATTTTTTATGAACAACCCAAAATGAAGTGCATGGGCATCTCCAACACCGACTCCCAAACCATCTGCAACCGTTCAGACCGCATGGTCCGGATGTGTTTTGTCATTCAACACGGACCTGTATCG